AACCAAAAGGTTGGCAGTTCAAATCCACCAGCCACTCCTTGGAAACCCTATGGGGCAGTTCTACTCTGTCCTATAGGGTCGCTATGAGTCAGAATCAAATCAATGGCAATGGTGTTTTTTTTTTTTAGTATGTCAAAAGAATAAATGTTTCAATTATGTCAAATACTATTAACTGCATTCTTTTCTAAAAGTAAATCCAAGTACAGGAAATGAATTTTTAACTAGGGAAGACTTTGTAAAGCCACATAATGTTACTATAGGCATTAAAAAAAAAAAAAAAAGCTGACTACCCTCCTAGGCTGTATTAAACTGAAAGTGGAAAACACAGAGAAGTACAAAGCAAAAATAAGTATCAGATCATTTCTGCATTTTACTAGTAAATAAAATATTCTAACTATCATTAATTAAAACTTTTCTCTCCAAACATTTCATTTGTACTCAAGTACAACATTTGCTCAATGGCAGAGCTGAATGACACTCACCCAGAATGCTGTCATTTTGAATCAGAGAATCATTCTTCTCACTCCTGCTAATTGTAAATATAAGTTTGCAGACATTAAGGAGATTCTTTCTACTCACTTTAAGCTGCAGAGAAAGAAAACACATTTCTGTTGCAGAGAGAAATCAAGGCACGCCATAATTTTTTAACATAAACATCTATTTTAAAAATGCAGCAAGAGTACTTTTAGAACATAAATAAAAGTTCTAAAGAAGCTAACTTTCAAGAGTTTAGGCCACATATTTGCCAACTACAGTATGTAACCTGATACTAAATATGATATAAATTACCTTTACAGTAAGCACATTTTAATAATAAACATTATTTCTTACTTCACTTAGTATCATATATTAAGATTACACCTTTTAAAGAGTAAATGAGGAAGAAAGGTGGTATGATGTTGATAAATTTAAATAAATGGAGTAGTTGCTCAAAAACACAAAAGTGAAAGAAGAGGGGTAACATAATTTCAGATTTAACTAATTTAGAAAAAAATACGTAGCCGGGATGACAGAAAGCAAAGAATGGGGAAAAGTACTAAGCTCTTTATCATTTGTGTAAAAGAAAATAAAAAAGTAATGTTGTTTGATTAGATAAAACAAACACATATTTATTTTTAAAGTCTATTTCTATAATGCTTTGATTTAATCAAAGTAATGTTCACAGTATAAAAGTACCTTGTAAATCATACACAAATATCCAAGTAAATTAAGCATGGGGCAATTAGGAAGTACACTTTCTTAAAAGCACAATATGGGATGACAAACTGAACCAAGTATTCTAAATTAGCTGCATATTTATCTAAAATAGTAAAAAATAAAACTAAAATCATCCTAAATGTCCAATATTGGGGAAAAGTTTCACAAACTGTAGAACATCAATACTCTTTACTATTAAGCAGTCACCAAAAATATAACTGTGAACACCATGTTGAAAGGGAAAAGCATTCATCTACTGTTTGAAGAAAATATTCCCTGCTCTCATTGCAACAATGTGAAAATATGTTTGAGGAAATGAGGTCATCTGAAGAAATAAATATTTGTGTGACAAAGATGGCATTATAGGTGTTTTTTAATCATTGAAACTATTTTTAAAATTATCTTTAATATTTTTCAAATTAGTTTCCAGTTAGTAAAAAAAGAATTTGTCCCACATATTTTTTAAAGATTTGTTCTATGTTGTTTGATTCCTAAGTATTTAGCGAGCTCTTATTGTGGACACTGCTGTGCACTGTAGGAGACACCAAGATGGCCAGCCCCGTGCTGGAGGGGGAGGCGGGAGCATTGCCCACGGAGCAGGTTCGGGGCCAGCTCCTGCAGTGGGCACTTACACATAGGTTATTCTCAGAGCAACTCTACAAATTAGGTGTTGTCATTCCCATTCTGCAGCTGAGGAGTCTGTGCCTCTGAGAGATCACATAAACAATCTTGGCATCACGTGGGTGTGTATTAGAAGTGCAGACTCTCAGGCCCCATCCAGAAAACAGAAACCCATGGAGGTTGAGTCGGTTTCAACTCATGGTGATCCTACAGGACAGAGACTGCCCCATGGGGTTTCCAAGGAGTGGCCGGTGGATTCAAACTGCCAACTTTTTGGTTAGCAGCCACAGCTCTTAACCACTGTACCACCTGGGCTCCTGAACCAGAATCTGCATTTTTAACTAGGCCCTCAGGTGACTGGATCACACTTTAAACTTGGAAAAGCATTGTTACTTTACAGAAGCCTCCGAAACTGCAACGTGTGGCAGAATGAAGAGTCCTTTTGTTTGCAGGAGGAAAAAAGAAATAGGAACTTTTCTCAATTTTAGTGATTACGTGTTTTAAAAATATTATTAGAAGAAAAGAAAATAAGTTGACTTAATAGCGAAAAATTCTACATCGATGGAAATATATATTGTTGTGAGCTCTTTGAAGTCAAAATCATGATTTATTACTCTATGTGTGGTGCATGTATTAACTGCTTAATACAAATTGTCAAAAAAATAAATGAATAAAACTAACCTAACTCCTCCTTCCCCCCCTCTTAACAATTTTAGCGAAAAGTGGCAAAGGACAACAATAAAAAATCTGTGTCAGAGATTTCACTAAAAAAAAAAAAAAATAAGATACCCACAACAATGTCCAGGCATGCTGTAAGGTCAGATTACATTTAAAGCAATTCTTTGTACCTTCCTCAGGGATAACTATAATTCATAATTAAGAGTTTGAGACATGAACAGATAATAAAATATTAAATTATATGTAAGAAATATAGACTACCTTATACAAAACAGCTCTTTCTCCCATCATTCCTCATTCTCTTTACTCTGTTTTATTGTCTTCCCCCAGCACCCATTAACCCCCTCTGGCACTGTGTATGTTTACGTGTTTGCTGTCTGTCTCCCTTGCTACAGCCAGCCAGAGAAGCCAGTGGCTTTGTCTACTTTATTCACTTCTCAAGAAGAGTCTCTAGCACCAAGTAGGCTCTTGTAGTAGATGGTTTCTTCCTATGTTAAAAATTGTAGTCTAGTCTACTTAAAGCATTTTTGGCAACTTAAAGAAAAGAAGAAAATTTTTAAAATCACCCATAAGGCTAACACTAAGTATTATCACTGTTGACATATTCGTATTTCTTTTCTGTTTTTTCCCTGGGGTACACAGGGTACTGGATTTTTTCCCCTCCTGAATTCAATTGCATTTATACTGTATATATGTTTTTATTTAAAAAAAAAAAAAAACTTAATGTAGGCTGACACGTTTTTGTGACATTTTTCAATAAAAAGGTTAAAACTGAAATGGTTGTCTGGCAAATCCCCACCTAACCAAAGAATGCTTTAACCAGAAACACTAACATAACGCTCACTGACATTTTTAAACTATAAATAGTTTTAAATGTCTGAATTGTAATATTAAACTGGTAGATGAAATACTGGCAGAAAGAAGTTATCAAAAATCTCTAGTCTCAGTCTCACATATCTTTAGTTTCTGCTAACTTTTCTTCTTCAATGGCTATTTCTAATGTGGTCGTTTTGAAATTTACCGAGAGCCCCCTCTCCAATGCCTAAGCAAAACATTTTGCCTGGGATGTTGCAAGAGATTCAGGGAAGCTGGACTTGAAGGCCCCTTCTGACCTTGCGGTTCTATAGTTACTCAGAAAGGAGGACTTATCTATCTCTGCATTCTGGGGTTCGCCTATCCGGTTTGGCCCCTGATTCAGCAAGGCAGTCAGTGCCAGGCAGAGGGCTGCATCTAATCACATGTTTTATGTTCACTGCTTGGCAGATCACTTCGCCTTTTGCCCTGAAGTAGTTAAACTGCGCCATGGATATAATTTGAACAACACCCTAATAACCAAGATGATATTTTCTCTGCAAAACATTAACAAGTTCATGACATCTTCTCTAACAAAAAGGTTGTTTTGTTTTGTTTTTTTTTTGGCTTGGTATATTCGGAGCAAAATTTCTAAGACTCAAATGAAAAAAGGAAAGGTAAACCCTGGGCAGCTGGCAGCCTGGTTCTGCCCCAGGGGAACTGCGTGGGCAGAGGACTCCAGCCTCACACCAGGGCTCTTCCTTCTGGCCAAGTGGCACCCTGAATCCAGGGCCAATGAAGGAGGAGGGCAAGCATGCAGATGCCTTTTCATTTTCTCCTCGCATTTTTTTTTTTTTAACTTTAAATCCTCTCTGTGGTTTATACTCTTTTTATTTTATTAAAGCTAATTGATCAGATATCATCAACAGAGGGGGGAAATGAAAATATCACTGAAATCACTATTTCAAAGAAATGCTGCTTTCTGAGACACATATTACAACTTAAAAAAGAGGCTGGGTTGTTTTGGGTGACAGCTAAATAAGAATGCAGCCTCTCCAAAAAATTACATATAAGATATTCTGCTTTATGAAAGATACCATTATCAAAATGAGAAACTGTGGACGCTCTTACTAAACTGTTAGTAAGTATGCCAACACTTACCTTCACTGTGTACTTTAAGATTTTAAATTATATGAATTATAGAGCGTTAGCATAAAAGCTTTTACTGTTATGAAACCAGGTAAACAAAGCTTCTTTCATTTGTTTTAGCGGCTCTCTTAGAACATTCTATAATATGTGTGTCTTATCTTTTGGTTTCCAACTGTTTATGGCAGTGGTAAGAAAGTGTTCCCCTCAAACAATGATATCATTTTGTTCAAGATCGAGTTTCTACAGAGTTTTATTTGGTGTCTGGTTTTTCTCCTAACACCTCAGGGAGCCTTCTACAACGACCAAGGGCGACCTTCCCATGACCAAATGCAGCTGTTTCTCTGTTTCAGGCTGCTTCATAAAGCACCTGGCCATTGCATCCATGGCCCAAATTATCTTATTTATTAAATCCTGTGACAGGATAAGCACCCAGCAGAAGCTGGAGGGCAGAAACCACAGCCTGCAGTATCTGATATGGATCTCCAGTCAAGTTACTTGAGCAACAGTTATGAATGTATTTGCCTATTGTTAGAGTTTTTTTTTAAACCTAGTCACAGTCTAAATGTAAAAGTTTATTTGAACATTTTCTACGTACTCAGCCTTAGTTCCTTAGATAGTACTTTCTAGTCAAATTTAGGGATGTCAGATTACCTTCATCTTTTTAGGGTTCTAAACAAATGCACTAAATTTCTAATCTTCTTTATAATATTTACCAATAAAGCATTAAACAAAGCTTTTATGTGTCAAACCAGAGGAAAGAAAAACTTACTGCTAGAATAAGTTTTGCAAGTTTAAGGCTGAGCAAGTCTGAACCAACATCAACTAGTTTATAGAGGGTCTTCAGGAGAATACTTCTTCTCTTAAACTTATTTCCAAGCATGTTTCCTTCCTCTAAAGCGTGGTGAAGTTGTGTGCAAGCAGCACAAACAGTTTCAATGTTTTCTTCTGTCACAAGAGCAAAGAGAGTAAAGCAACACTTACTATTTAAGGTCAATTTTTCAAGTGTGTCAAACATAGACGGTAAAAGTAAAAAGCCCCATAATTAACATCATAGGACATACTCAAATTCCTGAGCTGTTTTTTCCCCTTCTCTTATCACTTTCATCTACTGGATTTTTATTTTCATTTCTTTGGTCCATCTCCTACCATCTTGACTTATTTACTAATAAGTCAGCTTACCTATAATACACAGTCTTTCAAAGAGTGTACTGAAGAATGGAAATGTCACCTATTTCAGCTGGTTTCCTTTATTCCAAATGCCCTCCATTTCGGCCAGTGCTCTGTTCAGTCTCACGGAAGGATACCACTTGCATCTGCACCTCCAACCCTTTGCAACATGGTTCCAATGGCCTGGGATGTTCTCCTAACCCTCATTCCTACTGATTTCAGTCCTTCGAGACTCTTTTCATGTTCCAACTCCTCCAGAAAAGATGCACTATTCCACAGTAATCGCCTGTGAAATTGCATTCAACAAATGCTACCTTGTATTGCTATAGGGTCACTATGAGTCGGAATTGACTCAGTGGCAATGGGTTATTGTTATTTATTTTTCACATTCATGTATATATGCGTAGGTTGTATTATGTGCCTGATGTCCTCAAATGAATGTCACGCTAAGTCAGTAGGAACTGTGTCTTACGTATCTTTGTATCAACAGTGTGTGATACAATGAGAACATGTAACATAATTTAATATTCATTTTCTAACATATCTGTTGATGAGAATAATGATCAATATTTTCTTCATGAGAATAATGCTCATCATCTGAGAAAATAGGGCTCAAATAGAACAAAATCTCAAAATGTCACCAGCTCTACCATGATTAAAGGTGGTTATTAGAAAAGAGGAGTATAAAAAGAACAGTTTGGAATCATGGAGATGTAGAACATTGTATTTTGTAATTAGAATTCTGATGAAAGTAGTTTTTGAAAGTGGTAGCCATACTAATAGGTATACAAGAAATAAAAGCATATAAAGTAGAAATAAGGGGGACTATAAGAATCCCAGGTATGTTAATCAGTTAGAAAAAAAAAAATCTCTTATAGATTCCGTCACAGAATTTAAAAGTAGGAAACCAATCTTAAATAAATACCATAATGTGCTCTTAAAAGCCCACATAGAGGAAGTGTGCGCCTGCAGAAGGAAATGACTCAGGCCATTTTTAGCTCTTTTCAACAATAACATCTAAGAAAAAATTTTAAACCTCAATAGCTAAGTAACCTTCAATGCCTTTCAGTTATGCACTTAAATAAATGAATTGATGGGAAATGACTTAGACTAACTTTAAATAAAGGGAAAACTTGAACTCTATTGTAAGAAAGACTTCTGTTGTTTTATTCTTCTGTGACTGGCAGTTTCTTCATAACTCGTAAGTCTAGGCTATGAGCCACTCGCTGGCAGTGGGTGGTCCTCAAGGTATTTTTCTAACACTTCCCTCCACAAACTCTTCAGTTTGGTGAGTTCTACTCAACAGTAGTTATTTTAGCTTAAAAGGAAAATTTAAAAGGAAAGCTCAAGTGTCAAATTTAAACTATTGATCAAATGAATTCTTTATACCAACTGGATTGTTATAAATGCCATACAGCCTCAAAATACAACTTGAACCTCAGAGTTATCAAGATTTTCAAGAGGCTAAAGATCATGGGTGAAAGTTTGATGAGTAGTGACAGGTGAGTAACATAGTCTCAAAGTAACTTCTCCCCGCAAGATACTTATGAATCACAAAGGGAAAAATACAAGGCTTCAGATTGGTTCTTTATGGTTCAACTACCTGCTGAGAATTTGCATTTCCACCCCAGATACACTGAATCAGAATCTACATTTTGACAAGATCCCCAGGATGAAAGGAGGTGAACAAGAATAAACTAGTTTCAAGCTCTGGAAAAATGGTAGCTTTATTAATAGTGGAGAAACCTGGCAGACACCACTTTAGTCAAGTGATCAAAGTTAACATCATCAGTAACGGAACAAATCAGCATCATGACAAGATGCACCAGGAAGGACACAGCACCTGCCAAAATGCCTAACTTGGATCTAATTGTGAGAAGGTATCAGACAAACCCAAATTGCAGTGCATTTTATAATATAATTGGTTCAAGATCATGAAAGAGACAAGACAAATAATTGCAACTTGTGATCCAGGATTTTCTTTTCCCATAAAGGAAATTATTGGGACAACTGGCAAAATCTGAATATGATTTGTATTGTATTGTATTGATTATAATTTCCAGATATGTAAGATAATACTTTTTTTTTTTTTTGGTAAAAATGCAGGCCCAAGTAATTAGGGGTATGAGGTATCATGCCTGCAACTTGTTCTCCAATGACTAAACAAAACAAACAAAAAATCTCTGTGTGCATGTGGGAGGGGGGAAAGGAGGAGCAGAATGATAAAGCCAATTATGGTAAAATATTAATATTTTGGGAATCTGGGTGAAGAGTATACAGATTCTTTTACTACAGTAAAACCTGTGAAAGCCGGAACCTGTGTAAGGCAGAAACCTGTCAGAGAAGGAAAGCTAAAATATTTTCGACTAAAACGTGCTATAGAAAAGCGTTAAGACTGTACTCTGTCAAAGGTGAAAAACTTGTGAGACCTGGAAAAACAAGGCAGTCCCATCTTGTTCCGGCTCTCAAGGTTTCATTGTACTATTTTTTGTACTATACTTGCAACGTTTTTGTAAATCTGAAATTATGCCAAAATTAAAAGAAAAAAAAAAGACTCTCAAGGAAGGGTCAAGTAATCTAGCCCCTGATGCTGCCATTTACCGTTCTTAAGAGTTATCTATGGGGAGAGACGTCACACTTTCGTGTTTAATAATCCCCTTCCAAACTCCAACTTCTGTTCAATTCTCTGTCCACAGTGGCAGAGCCCTCAGGGCTCTCTTTAAATACTTCATGTTGAAGATCTCCTTCAGGATATTCCTTTGTGCTACTAACTCATTCTCCCCATTTAATGTTTCCTAACAAGTTTTCTTTTTTCATCCTTACCTAGATGACTGCTTTCACTAGTTTTCTAAAACAGCTCAAAGTTAACCAGGCACATTAATATGAGGGTGAGAATTAGTGACTACAGAGGGGGGAAGTCATCTGTTTATACTCTTAGGACCTGTGAGCTGCAGAGCACTTTGGAGATGATCTAGGCTCATCCACCCCTCTCTGGTGGGTAAGGATGCTCCTGCCCACAGAAACTGGGTAATTTCCCCATAGTCATACGCTTAGTAGCAACACAGGACCAGAAACCCTGTTCAGGGCTCCGCCACTCAACCATGAACACAGCTAGGCACCAACAGGGAGCCACCTAGGGGTCAGGTCATTCAAACCTTTTAAGAAGCAAGTCTTTTGCACGACTTCCCTGTTGGGTTGCTGGGAAGGACTTATTTACCCTGCTTCTCCTAGGATGTCTTCCTGTGGCTACCATGGTGGTTCACTCATCTAAGGAGCATCCACGCAATAATTCCTACTGAGGGCCTACCGTGTGCTGTCTGTCAGACACTGTGCTCGGCCCTAGGGCTATGTTATGGACTGAACTGTGTCCCCAAAAATATGTGTCAATTTGGCTAGGCCATGATTCCTAGTATTGTGTGGTTGTCCTCCATTTTGTGATTTGATGTAATTATCCTAATTGCTGAAAATCCTAACCTCTGTGATGTTAATGAGGCAGGATCAGAGGGAGGTATGTTAATGAGGCAGGACATAATCTACAGAATTAGGTTATATCTTGAGTCAATCTCTTTTGAGATATAAAAGAGATTAACAAGCAAGCAGAGAGAAGGGAACCTCCTACCACCAAGAAAGAAGAGATGGGAGTGGAGAACATCCTTTCGACCCAGAGTCCCTGCACTGAGAAACTCTTAGACCCAGGGGAAGACTGATGCCAAGGCTTTCCCCCAGAGGCAACAGAGAGGGAAAGTCTTCCCCTGGAACTGGTGCCCTGAATTCAGACTTCAAGCCTCCTAAACAGAATAAATTTCTGTTTGTTAAAGCCACCCACTTGTGGTATTTCTGTTATAGCAGCACTAGATAACTAAGACAGGCTGAAACCACAGCTAGAAGGAATCTGTTTCAACTTCAGAAACAAGAGTGTCTGAGAAGCTTCAGAGGGGGAGAAGATGGGGGTCCATTCCTCTGACAAGCTCTCCAAACCCTTGCCAGGACCCATCAGTTGTGGGCCTTCCCTGCTGGGTCACTCCAGGGTGCTGGGCACATTCTAGGCCACTTCCTGCCCTGGGAGTGTACCCCTGACAGATGTGCTAAACCTCAGGAAAGCAGGACACACACACATATTTGGATCTAGAAAACATGGGCACATCTGTCATGGATGCCAGGATATGAGACTTAGTCAAAGTTTCAGAGGACTGAAATCTGTTTTAATCTTTCACTTTCTTGCATGAACAAGAAAGATCTAGCTAGAATTTTTCAGGCAGAGGAGGTGATCATTTATATTACAAAGGGAGTTTTAGAATTAGGCTGACTTGGTACATTAAAAATATAATTTTACTCACTAAAAACAAGGCTTATGTGCAATATTTAATAGGTGCATAAAAAAAAAACAGTTGATGTTGAGTTGATTCTGATTCGTGGAGACCCCACGTGCGTCAGAGTAGAACTGTGCTTCATAGGGTTTTAAATGGCTGTGACCTTTCAGAAGTAGATTGCCAGGCCTTTCTTCTGAGGTGTCTCTGGGTAGATTCCCACCTCCAGCCTCTTGGCTGGTAGCCAAGCACTTAACCGACTGCACCATCCAGGGACTCCACAGAGACATATTATTGAGTAAAAAACAGATCATTTCATTTGTTTTTGAACACGTTCACAGAAACGATGATAGTCAAAGTGTACTAAAAATATCAGAGCAATGGTGAACATATAGATGTTTTCAATTTAAGACAAAAACTGTTAGTTTTTTTTTTTTTTTACCCTTCTCTAATTCATGCAAAATTGGTACGATCCTTGTATTCCAGAAGACTTCATCTGCTTCTTTTTCTGTGTCCTTTTCTTGCAAGTTGGCTTTTGAGGCTGCAAAAGAAACTCAGAACAGGAGACAAGCCGTGAAAAAAGGAGCTGTAACTGAAGCACAGCCTCAAGTCTTTACTGCTCATCACTAAAACTAACAAACCAGAGAATTAAATTACATGATGTCCCCCAAACTACTAATTCAAATTAGAACTACAGGTCTCCTAATCAAATCATCCCAAATTAAACTCAGATAAGATAATGTAAAGAAATAAGAACTTTGAAATATGATTTGGACACTTAATTAAAGTATTAAGATTTGTAAATAATGTTGAAATTATTATCAGTAAGGCAAACAGTTTTTTTTACTTAAACTTATTTCTCTGTAATGTAGAATAAATAGATAACTATAGAAATGTAAAGAATAAGGATTTTGAAAATGTTTAATAAAACAATATCTAAAAGAAAAGCCTGGAGGGACCCTCTTTTCCATAAAAAGAAAACTGTGCATACTACTATGGGCTCAGTGCTGTTGTTGTTGTTGCTGGTTGCCATTCAGTGGATTCGGGCTCATAGTAACCCTATATGACAGCGTAAAACTGCCCCGTAGGCTTTCCTAGGCTGTAATCTTTATGGGAGCAGATGGCCAAGTTTTTCTACCGTGGAGCTGCTGGGTGGGTTCGCCGACATTCTGGTTAAGTAGTAGAGCAGTTATGTAGACGAGCGCTTAACCATTGTACCACTAGGGCTCTTAAAGCCAAGTAATTTCACGTGGCATAGTAGGAAAGCACAGGCTCTGGGGGCTGACAGATCTCAGTTCTAATTCCTGCTCCATCAGTGATCTTGTTTTAGCTTAAAAAAAAGGACAAGCTGACGAGGGATGCGGTACAAGGTCACTTAAGAGCACAGATTCTAGAGTCACTGTCTAGGTTTGAAGGTTTGACTCCTACTAGCTGGGTGACTTTGGGCAAGTTCCTTCACTTCTTTGTAAAATGGGGTAACAAGGTTTATCTCTAAGTATTGGGATTATGGGTTACTAATTTCTTTTATGTGTTATTCTGTATTTTCCCGAACCTCTAGTACACTTGTATCACTCTTGAAGAGAGAAAAAATATACAAAACATATTAAATATATGTGTGTGTCTAAGCCTTAGTAGGTATCCATATTAATGTTTTCTTGACACAGTTTAAATTATCTGCAACAAAGAATCCAATAAAGTCTCTTCTCAATTATCTATATAAAACTGAGATGTCTGAAATGAATCCCCAAACCATCCAACGAGAAATGTTCCAAACGCACTGCGATGACATCATCCAGGGGAAGCAAGAAGTCTATACATGTTACTATGTCGCCCCAACACACAGGCCTTCCTTCCCCTAACGCGCCCTGTGCTGCAAACGGCCACTCTGAATTGCAGCAAGTCTAGACTTGCCTTTTATCAAACCGTCCCACCACCAATAGACACCCGTGCACACTAGGTATCAAAGAGCACTCCAGCCACAAAAATAAATAGAAAGGAGTTGTCAACAAAGCCACCACGAGACAGCTCTGGTGCTGTCAATAGCCTTAGTAGCAAGCTTTAGGATAATCCATCTAACCCATAAGCAAGAATTCGCCAGAAAATACTCAGCTAAATTGTCTTTAGGACAAAATCAGTTCACATCAGTACAGGTTCACAACCCCTTATTCAAAATCTTGGGGCCAGATGTCTTATGGGATTCAGAAGTCTTTGGATTTTAGAGAGGTAATACGGTGCATACACTGTATATTAGATACCACCTCAGCAGGGTCTTCTGCAGCAGCACCCTGTAGCAAAATATATGGATATTCACACTAGTGAAATAAAGTCTGCAATTGGTTCCCATCAGTTCAGGTCAGGTATTGCCACTAAATGAGCTTGAAAAATCTTTCAGCTTTCAGAGCTTTTAGGATTTCAGAACTGCAGATAAAGGACTGTATAGCACCATTTCCAATTTTTCGATCACTACTTTTATGAGTCTGCCTTAACTTTGATAAAATACGGATATGGATTCCAAAAGCAAACATGAATATTCAAGCAGTATAAAAAACTTAGTTGCTCATATTCCCAGATAACTAACATATTCAAAGTTCAAAGTATGGGCATAAAATTAACATACATTAAGGCAGGGGAAAAGCCAGAAAAATGATAAGCCAGAATGATAATTTAATCAATTGAATCAGCAAATATTTATGATGACACACTTAAATGTACTGGAAATACAAGCTCAGTGAGTTTAAATCAGCATTTTCTAGGCAATATGCTCTTTAAGATTATAGCTCTGTGAGAAACCATGATCATCAACCAGCTTCTCAGGACAAACAAAATCCAAAACGTCCACCCTAGGAAGAAATGAATTACAGGCTTGAGTCAGAAACTGCAGAACAGTTTATTTAACCCTAAGAAAGGAAGGGCCCTCATGAACCCTTCTAAATATTTCCAAGGCTTGTATCTTCTCAGAGCAGAAGTTAGCTCTACAGTGTGGTATAAGGGTTTGTTTCTAACTCTCTCCCAGGAATCCCAGTGTACACAGTTGTGTCGGGCTACTGCCTATTCACATTTCCACCCCCTTCGACTACTTCCCCCCATCTCTGCTCTCAAGAGAAAATTTTATACACTAACCCTGAGTTATTCCAGAAGCTGAAACATAGAATGATGTGATTATTTCTTTAAGGTCCACCAAAATAAATAAATAGTCTGTCTCAGTCTTGAGCAACAACTTAATATTTTAGAAAGCACTTTCATCTAGGTTCACGGTTTGCTAAATATAAAAATATACATACATATATGATTCAACAGGAAATTGGGTAAGTCAAGCAAAAAATTTCAGCATGTTTTTAAAGATTTTGCTGTCTCAGTGGTTATATTCTTAACCACAGCTTTGAATTCTGGACCCAAAAACTTGACACTGTGTTCATTGGCTGATGTTTTTAGCATGTAAATGTGAAATCCTTAGCAACAATGCTGACTCGGAAATCAGTATATCTAAGATTTTCCTGAGTACTACAGTAACTCCCATTGGTCACACAAATCCTTTTATTTGATAAGAAATTAGTTTTGAAGATAATAAAATATATATTTTTACTTAATATTAATTTGGTTTCATATAATTTCTCTCCTTTCTTTGTCAGTGTTTCAAGATATTTTAAGCTTACAAAAAAGTATGAAAAATCTTTGGGCAATTATTAACATTTTGCCATATTTTCACTCCTCTTTCTTGTTTTAAGAAGCCCTGGTGGTGCAGTGGTTAAGAGCTCGGCTGCTAACCAAAAGGTCAGCAGTTTGAATCACCCAGCCACTCCTTGGAAACCCTATGGGGCAGTTCTACTCTGTCCTATAGGGTCACTATGAGTTGTAATTGACTTGATGGCAATGGGTTTAGTTTCCTTGTTTTAAATAAATAAAACATTATAGATATAGTTGAAGCTCTCTGTATGCCTCCCCTCTGATCCATTCCCCTTCTCCTTCTGTCTCCAGGTGTAACCAACTCTAAATTGGCTGCTTACTGCTATTTTATTTAATTTTACAAGTTTAGCACATAGATTTGTATCCATAAACAATATATGTCACTGTGCTTGCAACTTACTTTTTTCACTCAATATTCTGTTTGTACTTATTTCACTCAATATTATAAATGTACTCTAGTTCATTTTCTAATTGCTACATTCCATTGCATGAATACATTTTGTATCAGTTCTAGCCTGTGATTTATACTGTTACATATTTTCTCAATTAAACAGCTTAAAGTCCAAAAGGGCTGTCTTAATATGGTTAATAGAGTTTCCTTTAAGTGAGTAATGATTTTAAATTCATGTTGACGTCACTGTGCAAATTTCCAAATGCTTTTACAAAATTTCCGCGAGATCATAAAGACTCATCTGTAGACATGCAAGGAACCAGAGCTAGGGAATTGTAAGACTGTCCTGGAAAAAAAAAAGAACCTATAAAAATAAACGTTTATCTGTGGTCAAGTTGGACAAAGTTCTGGAGTTTTCACTTAGAGAGCCAACATCAGATATCTTCAATGCCAATATTTTTCCTACGGATGCAGACACTGTCAAGGAAGGGGTCTTGGGAAACTCTAAGAACACGACTGATTCCTCACCTGTGGTTTCTAGTCGGCTCAGGTCCGAGCGGCTGGGGCAAGATGAGGCCCGGGCATGCCTCCGCCCCTGGTCCCTAGGAGGAAGAGGATATACAAAAAGACTCAGCACAAAAACCAAAGCATTGCGCTTTCTGTAAATGTCGTGAGTCAGCTATATACAGTTTCTAAAGAAATCACAGAGAATTGTTTATAAAATGGGATCTGATACTCTATATCCCATTTTAACCAATCTCTGATTTCCAATTATGATTTTTTTTTTAAACAAGTCAGGTTTGCCTAACAATACGGAATACTGTGACTAGATACAACAACAACAAAAGTAAAAATCCGAAGTCTACTTAGAAAATTAAAAAAAAACAAAAAACTAAGGACATGTGCCACAAGAGGTCACTATTACAATAAGAAAGAACTCTGGTATGCTTGGATCACAGACACCCAGTGTCTGGGAGCTGGGAGAAGCCTTACTCCCTCTTTGCAGACTCTGTCCCAACCTGGCCAGATGTGTCCAAGGTCACACATCAGGGTCAGACCTGAAACCCAAGACTCGTAATTTCTAGTTCACTGCTCTTTCCACTACTACATCACAGTGTGTCCTGTTTCCAGTAAAGAAAATTAGTAGAATTAATATTCTCTGAAAATATTTTATTCTTAGAAATATTTTAAATATTAACAAAATTGGAGGTAACATCAGGCAGTCCCTAAATAACATATACTTTTGTGTTTTCCAAATAAAAGAGCAGTGGCTGGCCAATAGCAGGATTTTATGCTTGGGTCATTTTTAAGTTAGTTATATTTAGTGTAGAGACCATCATGAAGGACATAGCTTCTCTTTAGCTAGAGCTGATACTTTAAAGTGCTTACTTTTATATTTATGTACAAAATTCCAAGGTAAAAACACTGAGAGTATAAGAGTGCAAGTTTTAGGAAAAAAAATTCTTTCTGCCATCAAATATATAATTTGCAGTAGAAACCAGAGAGAATGCGTATGCATGTGGCCAGGGTCACCCAGGAACATCCAGATGGGTATTCCGTGGTTTGTGCTTCCTGGGTGGTGAGAATCCCTTGGCCCTCAGGCCTTTACCACTGCAAGATTAACTTCTGCACATATCATATTTTTTCATAAACATGTCATTTTTTGACACTTAAGTTAACACTTCCTTTTATTATAAAACAGAGAAAAGATAAAGCTAATCTTCCAAAATGTCTAATAATTTAATACTCTGAAATGATTGCTTTATTTCTGTAGATAGTGAGAACATAGGTCTGGTGGCAAAATATCCCTAGCCAATCAAACAAAGAATGTGGGGACAAGATCCTCTTTGTCAACCTCTCAGAGTTGAGCTTCAGATGGAACAGATCTCAAAGAAAACAAAAATAAAGAAAATCAACTCTATGAAAAGGTAAAACAACAAAAGTTCAGCCAAGTGTGTGGTCAAGGAAGTTCCTATATTTATCACTTACAGAAATAAGAAGAAAGTCTGAGAACAATAGAGGCAAGACTTTCCTTTCAATATACACACTTGTCCTAAACAACTATTAAAATCAAGCAAGATCACTTTCAACTAATGGCCTTCCATCCAAAGTCACTGATCTACCCTACCTGAGGTCATGGCCAGTAACAAGGCTCCTCCCTAAATACCACATTAGTGTATTCCCACTTCTAGGAGGGGGAAAAAAAAAGCATTCTTTTTATCATACATGAAAGCTTGGTAGTGCCGGGCCCTACCAGTTCACAAGAAGAGTAGAGAGTTGACTCTTACTCTATATGTTTATCATATGCAGTGGTTGAGCGTGTGCAGGCTCTGAACCCAAACTACCTGGGTTCAAATCCTGGGTCCAGCTCTTATCTGCTATGTGACCTTGGGTAACTTAACCTCTTGGACTTGGTTTCCGCGTCGTAAAACAAGGGCAATCCTTATACTTAGGACAGTGACTGGCACATTTAAAGAACTTAATAAATGATCAATATTATTTTTCATTTTTTTTCTGAGTCAACAAGTATCTATTAAGCACATGTCTGAGCAGTCCAATGCTAGATGTTAATGGGATAAAGAACATACACAGTGTGGCCCTGAAGAGGTTTAAAATCTACTTTGAGAAAATCAACCTAAAACCAAACTCGTTGCTGTCAATTCGATTCTGACTCATAGCAACCCTATAGGACCGAGTAGAACTGCCCCATAGGGTTTCCAAGGAGTGCCTGGTGGATTCAAACTGCCAACTTTCCGGTTAGCAGCCGAGCTCTTAACCACTGCGCCGCCAGGGCTCCTGAGGAAATCAGAAACTTTTTAAAACGGAAAATTAAAATGAATGTAAAATTCAGCAGGATGCAAAACTAGAGAGATGCTGAGAAGGAAGTGATTAGCGAGTGGGAGAAGTGGATCACTACGTGGGCCTTGAAAGAATAAAGTGTCGTACCAGCAAATGACAACACTATTCTCAGCAGGGAAGTAGCATGAGTAAAGGAAAATAGGGGGCATGAGAAGCCTGATACTCAGGGAAGGGGATTATTGTACAGGGCTAGCAGACAGGAATAGAAGGTTTATTCCGGGAAGTCCTGGGAACAGCTGCCTAATACATTGGGGTGAGTGAGTGTACCCGTCTTGATGGACAAGAAGGAACTGTCATAGGTGCTTATACAAGGAAGTGATGGTATTTAGGGTTATGCAGTGACAAGAACATTTAGGAGACTTGGAGAGAGGTAACGAGTAATAATCATTTGGGGGTCACAGTGGGGCTGGAGAAGAAGAAGCAAATTTAAGAGATCCTATAAATGAAAAGTTGATAGGATTTGGTGGTTGGTTTTAAGCAGAGGAAAGAACAGAATGTAGACCTGGGAGAACAGCATAGCAGGGTTGCCATCAACACAAAGTGGGGGCTAAAGAGTAAATCGATTTGAGGGGTAAAACAATTCTGGGTTTTGCCACGTTGAATTTATGATAAAAAATGAAGCATCTACAACATCATAAAAAGAACTCAGTTACAGATCTTTTTGGTACACAGGGAACAGAAGTAATCAGAAGAGTGGCCCAAATACCAGAGACTCAGGACAAGGCCTCATCAGATACTCCTGCTGAAGGACAAAAAGGGAAAAAAGGGTCCAAAGGAAGAAGATAGACAAACTATACTCTTATACAGTCCAAGTATGTTGGGAAAGAAAGCATGGTTAACAGGTCAAAGAAGATGAGGACTGAGGATAACTGTCCATCTGGCCAGGGAAACCCTAGCAGTGTTTCTGCACAGCATGGCTGAAGTTATATATATATATATATAAACAGTAAGAGTTAGTGGAGAAGAAAGAGAGAGGCATCAAGAAAATAAAATCCCTTCAAAGGTGTTGCTAAAGCATAGGAAAAATAGATGACCTCATGCTCAGTAGAAATCTATCTCCCAGTGACTTCTACCCATTGGTCTTGGTTCTAATAATTGGAGCCACATGAAACAAAACTTTATCCTTCTTCCTCTTGACAATCTTTCAAATATTTAAAGATGTTCCACCACCACTCCTATGGTTTAAATTCCATGGTGCTACCATTTACTAGCTGTGTGGCCCTGGGTAAGTTTTTTTAACTTAAGCTTTGGTTTCCTCATTGGTACATATTGTTATTTTGTTAGGGGCCATCGAGTTGGTTTCAGCTCATAGCAACCCTGTGCACAACAGAACAATCGTTGCTACCTCTGAGCCCATGATGCAGCCACTGTGTCAATCCATCTCGTTGAGGGTCGTCTTCTTTTTTGCTGACCCTCTACTTTACCAAGAATGATGTCCTCCTTCAGGGATTGGCCCCTGCTAATAACACGTCCGAAGTATGTGAGACATAGTCTCAACATCCTCACTCCTAAGACGCATTCTGGCTGTACCTCTTCCAAGACAGATTTGTCTTGGTCCATGGTATATTCAGTATTCTTCACCAACACCATAATTCAAAGAAATCAATTCTTCTTCAGTCTTCCTTATTCATTGTCCAGCTTTTGCATGCATATGAGGTGACTGAAAATACCATAGCTTGAGTCAGGTGCACCTTAGTCCTCAAAGTAACATCTTTGCTTTTTAACACTTTAAAGAGGTCTTCTGAAGCAGATTCGCCAAATACAATATGTTGTTTGATATCCTGACTACTGCTTCCATGGGCATTGATTGTGGATTCAAGTAAAATGAAATCCTTCACAATTTCAATCTTTTCTCCGTTTATCATGATGTTGCTTATTGGTCCAGTTGTGAGGATTTTTGTTTTCTCTATGTTAAGGTGTAATCCATACTGAAGGCTGTATCTTTGATTTTCTTCAGTAAGTGCTTCAAGTGTTCTTTGCTTTCTGCAAGCAACGTGTGTCATCTGCATATCACAAGTTGTTAATGAGTCTTCCTCCAATCCTGACGCCCCATTTTTCTTCACACAGTTCAGTTTCTTGGATTATTTGCTCAGCATACAGACTGAATAAGTATGGTGAAAGGATACAACTCTGACGCACACCTTTCCTGACTTTAAATCACGTGGTATCCTCTTGTTCTGTTCAAACGACTGCCTCTTGGTCTACGTACAGGTTCTACATGAGCACAATTAAGTACTCTGGAATTCCCATTCTTTGCAATGTTATCCATAATTTTCATGATCCACACAGTCAAATGCCTTTCCATAGTCAATAAAATACAGGTAAACATCTTTCTGGTATTCTCTGCTTTCAGCCAAGATCCATGTGACGTCAGCAATGATACCTCTCCTTCCAAGTCCTCTTCTGAATCCGGCTTGAATTTCTGGCAGTTCCCTGTCGAGGTACTGCTGCAGTAGTACATGAAGGGCTGGTAAAAAATAGTATCCTCTAGCAACATAAGGTTGTTGTGAGGATTAAGTGATGTAATATGTAATTGTTTAGCACAGTCCCAGGCATATATTATGTAGTCAGTAAATGTTTACTATTATTGTTGTTGTTGTTATCATTGATGTCATTAACAAACATCTCCAGTTCCTTCAACTGTTTCTCCATATAATATGGCTTCAAATCAGCCTGTTCATTTACTCTGAGTGTCAGTTTGTCTGAATCTCTTTTAAAGTCTGGAACTCAGCATTGAGCTAAA